TCAGATAAAATCACATTTCAGATATCACATTTCACATATCAGATTCCCGGACCCTGACAGAATCTCAACGGATTCTGGCCTCTTATGCCTCCCTTCCCTGACACTGACAGAATCTCGACGGATTCTGGCCCCTTATGTGTCCCGTTATGCTTATAGCACCAGAATAGAACAGATATACAGAATTTTCAGAACAGAACTTATTTTCAGATTTCTCAGATTTCCCTGACACTGACAGAATCTCAAAGGATTCTGGCCCCTTATAACTCCCTTCTAATATCACAACACATCAAATCATTCAAATAAGAAAATCAGATTTCGTCAGAAAAATCGTCAGCGGCATAACGGCAGTATACAAAATTTCCACAAAATTTCACAGATTCAGAAATTTACCACATTACCACATATAGTACACAACATCATTCTAAGACTTTCATTGTACTGAGACAGAAATTTCAGACATCCAGATAAATTGTTATTCGATCAAAACCCCGCAGAATTCAAAATACCCGGTAAAAATATTCCAGAAAATACTCAAAACGTGCACAATTATCATCTCAAAAACATCCAAAAGTTACACGGTAAAATCTTTATCAGTGCAAAACGAAACCAAATATTCGCAATTCGAAACAGAAAAGTCGTCAAAAATCTCATTTCTAAAAATTGAGAAAGGCGGAATGTGTCTTACCTCGAGTCGGTCAACTTTCTCAACTGCAGCTACGGACAGAAGTCTCCCAAAAATCACTTTTCTTTCTTTTTCCTTCGGTTTTCTCTCTCCTGCCCTTTTCTCTCTCTTCAAAAGATCTCATTTCCATATATATCCAACCAGATCGTCCCGGACGATCGCAAATCGTCCCGAGACGATTTGCCCTCTGGACAAAATTCGTTCAGACGTGTATAGTAATCGTACCTGGACGAGTTGCTCTCTGGAAAAATTTCGTCCAGACGAACCCCAGTTCGTCCTGGGACGAACTTCTCTGTCCAGAAATTCCTTTACAACCTGTACCAATCATCCCGGACGATCCAATTTCGTCCGGACGAACCTGGAAGGAAAAACAGCTTTCACAGCAAGGCTGAAATATATCAGCTCAAACTCTTAACTATTGAGATATTATCTGTTTTAGTCTAAGTGTCTCACGGTTTTGTCTTGTTGGTATAACTTCCCAGTAGGTCACCCATCCCAGAATTGCTCTAGGATGAGCACGCTTAACTACCGAGTTTCTTAATGAAATTTCAGCCATTAAACTAAAAGGCGTCTCGATGTTTAAGAGTTTAACTTCTTTTACTTAAGGGATTTTACAATCTCCCCCACTTAAATAACTTACGTCATCATCAGCATCTTTATCCCAGAAGCATCCACTAGGTAGATAGAATTCTAGAAGTGACCCCCATAAGTTTAAGTGGTGGCTCCCATTATATAGCACTTTATCCCACATAGAGTTCAAAAGGTGGCTCCCATTGCGTATCACTTTGTCATGTATGACACTTAGTTCTCATCTTTCTGCTGGTGTATTGCTCTAATACCATTTGTAACAGCCCAAACTCTTAATTATCGAGATATTGTACGCTTTGGCCTAAGAGCCTCACGGTTTTGTCCTATTGGTGTAACTTCCCAGTAGGTCATTCATCCCAGAATTGCTCTAGGATGAACACGCTTAATTGCCGAGTTTTTTAAAGAAATTTCAGCCATTATATCAAAAGGCGCTTCGATGTTTAAGAGTTTAGCTTCTTTACTTAAGGAGTTTCACAGTCTCCCATACTTAAGCCATGAGGCTCTTAGGCCAAAGTAGACAATATCTCGATAATTAAGAGTTTGGGTTCTTACATGGAAGTTTTTCTCTAATATTCGCATGTCCACGCCCTAGGGAGATGATGTCGGTTAACTCTACCTCCAATCGGTTTCCCGCTCGGAACTTCGATCATGATATCTCCTCACTTTCTTGTTCGGAGTCACTCTCCTTTCCCCACTTGCTTGCTTGATACTCATTTGGCACTCAAAGTACATGCCATAATTTGAGGTTATAAGGGGTATGAGAGTCGATGGGTAAGGGGAATCGAGTTGTGGTTGTTTGAGTTGATCCAGTCTAGTCCAAAGAGAAACTGGATAATACATTAGGTCGAAAATACCCCAACTTTGACATTTACACTAATCATCTTCCTCAAGAAATGCATATTAAGAATAATAAAAGTTTAAAGAGCAATTTTGAGTGCGAGTTTGATACATATTGAAAAATAAATTTCTAAGAAATTTAAGAACATGTAATTGTTGCGTGGAATATGATTGTGTTGATCAATCTGGTTGTTTTGTTGTCTCGGACCTCAAAGCTTATCATGTTCGCTGGGGGGTGTGGGGGTTTACCCCCCTTCTTAGGTTCGCGTGCTTTGCAACAGAATTTTTTTTTTTCCGTGCAACAATCCGGCGCTGCATATCTGAGCGCCCCGACACTGTGTTCCTGAGCGCCACAGCGTTGAACGACATAGAGCAAAGCATCGCAGTTGCCTAGATATGGCGCCGCAATGGTGCAAGACAGAGGCTTGAGCGTCGCAGCACTGCGAGATGGATTGAACAGTTTCTTTATCGCTTTTCTGAAGGTTTGCGTCCCTTGGGATTATTTTACTTGATTTTCTCTTGTATTTTGAGTATGTAGACACTAAGAATGGTGCATATGAAAAGAGAAGCAAGGAGAGAGAGTGATAGAGAAGAGATACATGTACTTATTTCTCCCAATTTTCCTAGTAGATTTCTTGGTGTGGTGTGCCTCCGTAAATTTTTCCTCATTTTGGGTTTTTCCACGTTAAATCCTGATATACTTTACTTTTCCGCAACTTTAACTTTCTTGCTTGTTTCGTCAATGTGGTGTTTACTCCTCCTCATCTCACCCCCAACAGTAATATATCTAGAATTGATTGGCCTTTAGAAAGAGAGGCAGAAACTTTTCTAGAAATACGAGAGGAAACGCCGTCAACAACAAGAACAATTGGGAGAGAGGACATGTTAAGCGAAGAAAGTAAGTGGTGATAAATTGTCAAATATAATGAGGCAACCAAGAAAATAATCTAGGATGCACAAAAAAAAAAACAACAACAACAACAAACGCACCACAACTAGATAAGGAAATAACATGAGAAGCAGAAACATACGTCTCACAGTGCTCAAGGAGATGGTCATAATCCTCATGGATAAAGTCAACATCTAGAAGAAGCATTCGGGGTGGAAGTAACAACAATCATAAGAGAGGAGTTTAAGGTATGCTGAGAAATACAGGGTAGGCAATTTTCTCCTAGCACCAATCAGAAGGATGATTAGTATGGTTGTAATGAAAATAAGAAATAAAAGGATTTGCTTCCATAGAAACGAGGCAATCAATCGTACCACCATAGCTATGACCATCATGACCACAATGATGTATGTAATGAAGGAAGTCCCACAATTTCAATTGTAATATCTTCAAATATAACAACCGGTGCAACGGACAGTTAAAGATTGTTAAGCGCCGAGTAAGAATAGCATAATTGGATGCCTTCCATATAGAAATTTGAAGGTGTGTGACAAATCGAAAGAGATGCATCAAGATGTTTAAGTTTTCCACCTTTAATTGGTACAAAATGACAAGTCAGTGTCCACAGCACAGGCAAATTAGTGAGTGACAAATACAACAAGTGGGCATGGGTGGATTAAAATGAAAGGAGGAGAGGGGGGATTATGTATATCATTTATTAATAGAAAATAATACTTATGATGAATACAATAGGCAAGTAATAAAGCAGAAGATATCCTCAATTAAAAAGATAAAATCATGCACACATAAAACTTTCCTATAATACTATTTAAAACAAGTATTTTCCACCAGACAATAATAACCTAAAAAGCATGGCAATTCCATCATCCATTTAAGACAGAGTAAGTTCAAACCATATTAAGTGGGAGGATTTTGTGTTATACAATAAAGATTTTCAATGTTGCAACTGTTTTGAAATTCAAAGAGCAACGAGCTAGGTCTTCTAAACATGAAAAAAAATAAATATTAAGGTTTTTCTAACGAAGAAATAATTCAAAACATGCAAAAAAAATAAAGATAATACCTTGATGATAGCTAAACCTTTAGAGAGTTTTGCAATCCTTTCAGAAAGCTTCTTTGCTTGATAAGAATTATCCGTGTCAGCCAAATCTTTCTTTATTTGAGATATTCTTGCTTGAATCTCATCCCTCATTATTGGGTCAGCAACAATAGTTGTTGAATTTGCTGTTATTATCACCTTTTGTGCAATGCCAAGCTGGTCTGAAGTGACACGCTCAAGCACCAATCCCAAATCACGGGCAAGAAAATCAGCACCTATTCTCAACAATTCAGTGTTCAGGATCAAGTGTGAAATAAATTAAGATTTAGAGAGGCATGCAACTTCCAAATATCTAAGAACGCTAAATTGCACAAAAGATTAACTTGATAAACGACATGCTACATATTTCTTTTAATCACCAATCACACCCATCTACATAATATATAGCAATTGAAATTGGAGAGATAAAATGAAAGTGTAGATGGGTCATAGGAATGCTTCATTTTGAAATGATGTTCACTATTATTTTTTACATTTAAAATTTTAAAAAGGGCTCGAAAGTGTCTCTTCCAAGTATTTAAAATGAGTAAAAGCAACTAATCCAAAAAGAGAACATAATTTCAATGAAGCTAAAGATAATGGTCCATCAATTCTTTTCAAATTATTTTTAAAACTATCATAACCTTCTTAATTATTTTCCTTTTTGATTACTTATTTGAATTATGATATCCAAAGCATGGCATAAATTTCTTTAGATTTGCAATTAACGAAAGACAGTGAACAAAGAAATGAAAAAGTAATGGGACATGGGAAGGGTTCGTAGTGAAATGACATTTTCTCCTATTTTAAGATTTAAAAATATAGAAAGGGAGATGAAGTATCTTATCCAAAGATTTTCAAAATTTAGAAAAAAGACAAGGAAAAGCATTTCATTCAAGGAGACATTAATTGCAAATGTGATAGGAAACACTTGTAGATCTCAAGTATTTCCTATCAATCTTCGGAAAATAGCGAGAATTCTCTACAAAAATCTACACAAAACCACGAAAAAATAGATAATTTGTATTATTTGATGAAATAGAAACAAAAAATACCAAGATACAACTGATCCTCTATTTGAGAGGAGGATCTATCTCTCCCAAATCTCTAGACGCCACTAGAGCCCAAAGAAACTAATTGATTATTTTGTGATCTTAACTTCTAGTTGTGTGATTTGGCCTAAGCTAGTTTCACCCCTCTCGTTTTCTTTCATTGTTTATTTGTTCAAATCGCTACAAGTTTAATACTTAATATTGCTCTCATCTAAAAACCTGCAACTTCTTATTTAACATTGCCTAAGCATTTAAGTCCTACATCAGAAAGATTCCTCAAAGCAACAACATGAAAATATTTAGAGGCAACAACGTAATACTAGATAACAGCACAAAAAATAACAACAAACATTCTTATGAAGTTTCACATGTAGTCCAAACGTCACACTTTTCTCCAAAGCTGTAAATGCCTCTAAATATTTGAAATAAAATAAGTTGGCTCCTACATCTAAAACCAAAAGTTCAACATTACTCAATGGAGCAGAAGTTTATGGTTATCCTTGAACACTAAGACAAACCAATGAAAACTTCAAATAAACCATCTAGTGGATTTATAATAATCAAAGAATTTTGATTCTCTTGAAAACATAATATTTCGAAATATGTCAACAAGGAAATTAATTTTCTAAAAAATAAAAATATAAAAAAAGAATTAGGTAAGCATACCTGTCATAAGTGCAATGTCTTGTAGAATAGCTTTCTTTCCATCACCAAATCCAGGACACTTGATAGCAGCAACATTGATTATTCCCCTCATCTTATTAAGAACCAAAGTAGCCAAAACTTCACTTGAGATGTCCTCAGCAATTATTAACAACGGAACACTTAACTGAGTGGCTTTTTCTAACAAAGGGATAATATCCTTGACATTTGTAACTTTCTGATCAGTTACAAGAATTTTAGCATTCTGAAGTTCCACAAGTGATTTATCTTGGTTCGTAATAAAGTGTGGAGACAAAAACCCCTTGTCTACCTGTACATTAGACATGAAGTGGTAATTACAAATATAACAAAACAAGGTCAATCAGATTTTGTCAATTACCTTCATTCCATCTTGAATTTCAATAAAAGTATCAAGGCATGAAGATGATTCAATTGAAATAACACCATCATGCCCAATCCGTTCAATAGCCTCTGCAATCAGGTTACCAATGAACTCATCATTACCAGCAGAGATAGACGCAACAGCTGAAAAAAAAAAAAGAATGATAGTTCATGAAAGTATTACTTAAAGCTATCATTTATACCTGCTCAGTTCTGCAAAAGAGATATGATACCTTTTACATCCTCCTTACCCCTAATAGGAATGGACTTACTCCTCAATATTTGAACCACTTCACTGACAGCTTTATCAATCCCTTTTTTCAAGGACACTGGGTTAGAACCACAGGAAATTGCTAATAACCCTAATTTGATAATTTCTCGAGCTAAAATAATTGCAGTGGTGGTTCCATCACCAGCAGAATCATTAGTCTTGCATGCGACCTGACTAAATGATGCGCAAGAAAAAGGGGAAGAATATAACTTGTTCATACACCATAAATTATATAAAATTCAAGGAAAAAAAATATTAAGAAAATAATACCTCTTGGATTAGCATTGCACCAGTATTTTCAAAAGCATCAGAGAGTTCAATAGCCCTGGCAATGGTGACCCCATCATTAATAACTTTAGGTATATCCTTTTCATCAAGAACCACATTCCGGCCTGCTTATAAGGACTGATAAAGTTTACTGATCTGGAATAGTTATATAAAGAGATGGTATAAATCACTACTCTTTTGCAGCAAAAGATATCATTTACTCGTAGAAACACTCCGTGAACTAAGTACAATACAGGGCCAATCTAGCATAAGTACGTTGTGATCGGCGGAATCAATCAATAAAGTGAAATATATTAATGAGAAAGAAAAAAAACCAATCATTATGGGAACATCCTCTGAAGTCAACATTGCCATTCATCAACATGGCATCTAATTATGATGAAAAAAATTTATAAAAGGATTGTTAAGCATGTGTACTATGAGACACCAATGCTATGAGGATCTTCCAAGTTTAGTCTAATTTCCCTGTATGGTCATACTGGCGAATAGTATATGAAGAAAAACATTAGTGATATACCTACCACCCTATGCATGCACATGAGTATATAGAGGATTTTTCATATTTTATTTTTAACAATAGGCTTTATTATGTAGAACCTGCTGATCTTCAATTTAATGAACATAAAGCTCCCAGGCAAATGCATCAAGTAGGAAATTAGGAGTATTGTGGTGACAAAATCAAAGATGATATCCAAAATGCTCATAACAAAAAAGTAAGATATTATTGCATTGTTCTTGGAAAATTTTTCTTTTTTGTTGTAATATTATATCAGAGAAAGAAACTACCTCATTGATCTCCATTAACTAATACATTACATCACGCACAATGAAAGTTTCCAACAAGTGATCATGATAAAAGTCTACATTCCAAACAGGTGTCCATGGTACCTCAAACCAACTTCGCATATATTCGAGCATGGTTCAATTTTGACCAACACAAACCATGTTAGCATTCTACTTAAATCCTAGTGGTGACTTTTAAGTTTGTGTTTGTTGTTTTTCCCATATAAGAGGGGCTGTTTGTCTTCTTCATTGGTTAAGGTTATATGATATTACGAATCCCAATTTCCTTCACGAACAAAATTTCCTTTTACTGTGTATTAATTCCTTCTTCCTACTGTGTATGAAGCTTGTAGGAATCGGTGGAAGTAAAAGTGCCGGCCCCATTAATCTTTTACCATTTTATGTTGACTTTTCTATCTCTCTCTTCTTGCCAATTTTTCACTGAGATCACATTCTCAATTAAGCTGGGTCTATCACTGATCATCAACAAAACTACAGTCAATATTCCACATTTGGTGATTTCAACAAAAATCAAGTGGGTGAGCAGCCCAAGATTCCACTTTTCTATCTCTCTGTTATTTTGGTAATTATGTGAAGATGGCAACAAAATGAAAAAAAAAATAAAAAATCTCATGCTACCGAAAATCCCGAAACCAACAGATGACCTGAGATGATTTGAAACAATTTAAATTACATCCCTCAATTATGAAAAAAAAAGAGTTTGATGACAAGAGAGGATAAAAGATATACCTTTGGGTCCCAAAGTAACAGAGACGGCATCTGCGAGCTTATCAATCCCGGCCTGCAATGCTCTTCTGCTATCGTTATCAAAAAGTATCCTCTTAGGTCCTGCTCTAACGCAAAAACTTCGGCAAGAAGAAAGATTACGGGCTGACTTGCGACTCCATTTTGTTTGCTGCTCCCTCTATAGATTAATCCCCGGGATATGGTCAACAGTAGCTAATAGATGTGCAAAGGTAGAAGGAAGAGAGGGGATAAGGGGCTTACCAAGGACATTAGGCTTCGGTGCGAGAAGTAAACCGAGGTGAAATAGACAGACATCTCTCTTCGAAGAAGCAGCTCGGCCCGAAGAGTGCAGCAGGAGGGTTTCCAAGGGTTTTACAAGTCCTTGGGCTGTTTGGTGTTGGATTTTATTTAATTTAGTGGAATTTAATAAATCCTGTAAATTCAAATTTATTAAATTTTGAAATTATTAAATACTGAAAATTATTTGGTATGATTAATATTAAATCATGTTAAATTCTAAAAAAATGTTTTGTAATAGATTTTAATATTTAAGATAATTAGATATTTAAATCTAAAGAAATAGTGTTGAATTACATTAATGTGCTTGTTATTAATTGAAGACATAATATAAATCCCTTTAAATCGACAATGCAGTTGTATATCCCATCTTATAAAACTTTATTTATAAATTTATAAATCGACAATCCCTTTAAAGCCCAGGTGAGATGGGAGGAATATCTTCCGTCGACCACTCGGCCGCAAATCCGATCTCATAATTTCAATTTTCTCCTCTTTCTATCTTCATGGTCAACCAATATGACTTACTAGAGCAAGGATATACTAGGATATTCATTAACTTTTTGTGCTATAAAATATCTAAACAAAATAGTACAAATTTATTATAATTATATTTATTTTGAGACGGTGCATTACATGTATTATTTCCATCTTAAAATAAATATGATTTTTATAAAAAAAAGTCTAGCTAAATTTTAATTAAGATACGCTAAAATAAATCTTATAGGATAAATCAGAGGATTAGAAATATGAAAGAAAATAGCTAAATAATTATAAAACAAAAACAGGAGAAAAGCTAAATAATTATAAAACAAAAATAGTAGTGGTACACAGAGGTATACAAAAGTGGTACACAGAGATACACAAAAGCTGTACACAGGGATATACAAAAGCTGCACATAAAAGCGGAACACATAAGTACACAGCGATACATCAAAGCGATAATACACAATAATAATACATATCACATTATGTTTTTTATCTAGACTTGCACACATAATCCAAACTTGCATCTATACATGTGTAGAGCAATATAAATTCAAAGGAGCAAAAAAAAAAAAAAAAAAAAAAAAAAACGATACACCATAAACCATTTAAATCTCAACATTTTCAAATGAAAAATAGTAAAACCTTTTGGGAGTTTAAAATTTACGAATATTATCCCCGACTTATCTCCCGCAATTTGCTGTGGTAAGCTTCATGGTCGTTTTGCGTCTCTTTTGAAACGACTTCCATCTCCTCGCATGATTCAAAGTCCTTCAAATCATTTTCCATCTTATAGCCTACTCTCTTTTCCTTCTCTGATCTTTTTTGAGAAGAAATTCTGTCTCAGGTGGCAAAAAAATCTGCCAAATTGGCGTATTTCTTTTCAATTTTGTGTGGCTCAGATCGGGTCGTCGGGTGGCACAATAAGTTGGAAAGCACATGCTAAATATTAAGTTTTAATTGAGTCGTATCATGGAGTAATTATTGTGTCCGGGCACCAAACGCATCCAGAAACTAATTAAAAAATATCACGTCACTATGCGCTAGGTACCGTGCTCGATATCACTCGGTATGCTCAATATCGAATCCGGACACAATAATTTTTCCGGATCATGAGGTTGTCATATGATGACATTTTATTCTGGACATAGAGTTACCTCCCCAGTTCGCACCAAATAATTTTTCGTTCCAAACAGACCTAGGGTTGAAAGTGTAATTTCCCACTCCAAAGTCCATAGTTACAGATCTCCATTTCCTTCCGAATTTTTACCGGTAAGAAAATGGGCAGCGAGCGAAAGTCCAGAAAGCGGCGATCTTCTCTTTCAACTTCGATCGACGGTAAGTAGGAACGGGGTAGCTAAACGATCCGTCTTCTGTTAATCCTGTTATTCGTTTTCGTTCTTCTCTTTCAGATGACAAGGACCGGGCTAGGAAATTTAAGAAGAGAGACGACGAGAAAGAGAAGAAAACTAGAAAAGAGGAGGATAAGGAGCGAAAAAAGAGGAGAAGAGATAAGAAATCTCTCGAGCATTCGGATAGCCGAGAGGGAAAAGGTAGGTTTTTATTTTTCTTGGCCCTTTTAGTTATTACTTGTTGTTTGTGGATTAAGCTAGTTATCTTAATTTGTGGTGATACTTTCACTCTTTCAGTTCAATGCCAGTTTTTGTTGCTGAAGTTCTCAAGTAATATCTAAAAAATGCCTCTTTTGCTTTTGACTTTTCTAGAGGGAAAAACGAGAGAGAGGCACAAACACAGAAAGAAACGAGCAGACAAGGTGAGTTAACTATTTTTCATATCAGCTGTTCCTTCAAATGTGCTTGGTTTTACTTCATACCTATGTAATACAAATTCTTTTGGCTATCCATACAAAATGATAATTTGCATAGCTTCTAGTTAGAGAATAATGGTTGAGCATCTAATTGTGTATTTTTCTATGACAGTGCTAGCCTAATGTTATCTAATCTGTTTTCCCCTTCTGGTTAACGTTTTTTATATTGCATAATGATGTGATGCTGAAAACTGAAAGATGAAGTAGATGAAATGGAATGAAAAAACTTTTACTAGAACACCAAGATGGCCGCTCTGCTTGCTATAGGAGCGCCCAAGGCACTATTTAGAGAACCAGTTGCTAGAAATTTACTTGAAGCAACAGAGGAACTCTTATTATGAGTATGGCCCAAAAGAAAGCACTTTGATCTTGCAAGGAATCCATAAGAAGAGTTCTAAGGCATTAGGAAGTAGATGTAAACAAGAATTTTCTTAAAATTTTATTGTCTTAATTACGGAGAGTGTCTACAACCTCTTTTATAAAAAAAAAAAAAAAAAAAAACATATTCGGACAATCAAGAAAACTATTAAATCTTTATAATTAAGCAAATCAAGCCTACACTATAATAAGGTAATAATACTCTTGAGTTCACAAACCTAAGAATAAAACTAACTATGAGCAGTTGACTCAACCCTAACACTAGTATTGAGGTCAATAGCTATATCCTGACCAACAAACTTATGGACAAGGTCATGATATATAGAAGAATCTCACAATCAAATTCAAGTTATATTTTCATTGGCTCATTAAGTTCAGAGAGATAAGCTATGATTCTCTTGAGTTCACAAACCTAAGAGTAAAACTAACCATGCGGATGTGATAAGCTCTTACAATAAATTACACACATTCAAGTTTTCACTAGTTTAACAACTCTAAAGGCATCCAAATGCCTCTCAATTCAATTAGCTCAAGGGTTGAATTGGTCAAGTTATTTTAGCTCAACAAACCCAATGACAAAGCTAATCTTGTGGATTCAACATGATTTGATAGCATAGTTCATAAAGGTATATATGTCTGCTTAGTAGTTTAAGTAATGAACCAATATCACATTTTATAAACCAAGCACATAAAATAATATATACACATTGGTCCAACATGGTAAATACTATATCAACAATGCTATGTGCCTTCAACGTCAAAATCATGCAGAGACCCTACATTGATCGCCTAACTACTATAACTTACAATAGTAAATCGTTCATTTGAAAATTGGGGTACTAACATACTTGGTCCTAGGCCTCTTTATCTTTCTCTAGCTATCGATTTATTTTTTAAACCATAATGTTTGAGTGCAAGCACATGAATATATCAACATTGGTCCAACTTGACTAAAGATTATATCAACCATGCTACGAAGTGCCTTTAATGCCAAACTCACAAAGACACCATATATTGATCGCCTAACCTACTACATACTGCAATAGGTATATAAATTGGCTTAATAAGTCTGAGGATTCACTACAGGAAAGTTGTGTCTTTCTGGCGAAAAATTTTAAAGTTTCCGGCGGATTTTGAAATTTTCCGACAGATTTCTCCCCCGCTCGCACGGGCGCTCGTCAGTCCGATCAATGCACCATTCATGCAAAATTGTTTAAAAGGTTAAGTTTTTTTTTATTTATATTAAAATGACAGAATATTTAAATTAAAACTTATTTATTCATGTTTATCAATTTAATTGATAATAAAATTAAATTAGTTAATTAATAATTAATTAAAATATGTTATTAAATTATTAAAATAATAATTACTTAAAATAAACTATAAAATTATTAATGAATTAAATTACAAATAAATTATATTTCCAGAGATTTAAATAATCCGTCGGAAAATCGGTCGGAAAAATATCCGCCGGAAAATCTGTTTGAAAATTTGACGGAAATGTTTATAAATAATCCGTCCGAAATCCGTCAAAAAATCCGCCAGAAATTCTTCCGTCGAAAATCCGCCGGAAATTCTGTCGGTAATGAGTTATTTTCCTGTAGTGATTGACCCAGGACTTCCTAGCTCATAAACCCTAGGGTAGAACTGATGTGGCATAATGTTTGTGTGGTTTTGGCTATATGAAAAATGGTTCGAAGCTTTGGTAGCAATGGCATAATGGAGTTGCCTTGCTTGAGAGGGTGAGCAATCATGTTATAAGAGTTCTACAATAGGATTTGGCTTCTAATAATGTACACTTTATGGAATGAGAGGGGAAGTGCTTATCTTGTGTATTTTTTAAGGGAAAAAAATTGGACCAAAGCCTTCTCATTAAACAAAAAAAAAAAAAAACGGCACAAGGAAAGAATACACAAGAACACAAATTCTTGGTTATAGTAAGGACAAAAAAGTTTCATATTTTTGATAATAAGATTCTTAGCATTGTTTGGGAGGAGCCCAAGATTTGTTGTATAATCTTCAATAGTCTCTGCTTTTCTTGTCTTACAAGAGTAAATCCAAAAATATGAAAACAAAATGATATTATACCAAATGTCCTTTGATGTCCCTTTATCTTGAAATAACATGTTTCTATCATTATAAATATTCCATAAAGCCAGAAAGAAAACATCCCGAATATGCCTACCAGAATTAGAAACATGACTCTTTCTCCTTGATGCAAAAAGGAAGAGATGCAATCATGAGTAGTACTAATGTTGAATATTTGAAAGTTTTGTCCAAAGTTATTCAGTTGCATTTGAGGAAGATATGTGATGGTTTGAGATTGAAGAATACAACTGTAGCAATTTGATACGCCTTAGGGTTGCACAAACTCGTTTTTGCCCAAATGTCCCTCAAAAGAGAAGGATATCTTCACCAAAACCAAAGAAAACAATCACAAATGAAATGAGATGAAGAGCAATAACTTTTGCATATAAGATCCAAAGGAAAGCAAGATAAAATTTAGTCCATTTCGAGAAGGACAAGATCTCCCACAAAAGCTCTAGAGAATACAAGAAGAAAACTAAGAGTAAGCCTCCAAAGCATAAAAAACCCTAAACCCAAAATGGCTCCCTCATATCATCCCAAAACCCCTCCCCAAACACTACATCCCCCCCTCCTTACTATTCCCCCCCCCCCCCCT